GTGTGTGTAGTTAATATTATTAAGTGTTGGCTTTTCCTTTTTTTATTATTAAAGCTACCATTATTTTTTATCTTTTTACCTGTGGATGAGATTATGTTTGTATTTTCTACTAGTAAGTTACGGAAGGTGTATAGTAGGTTTGTGGGTGTGTTTAAATGAGTTCTAATGAAACTGTGGTCGGCTAGGTGTAACGTAAGTCGTCTGGATAGGCATGTAGTAGTGTAACCGATGTAATTATTTATTAGTTTCGTTTGATCAGGAAGACAGTTCTTTAAAGGAGATATGAACTCGTAAATAATGTTCGTTCTTTGTAGTTTAGACGCAAATGCACGTCAATTATAAATAAGATGAATCTTCCCTTAGAAATATTATAAAGAAATATAAAAACCTAGTTTATCAGAACAAAAAAAATTAAATTATCTATTATAAAAATTTAAAACAACTAACCTTATCCTCAAAAATAACAACACGCCTGCAAAATCAAAATTACAATCAAAATACTTGTTTGAACACAAGAAAAATTAAATAAAAAACTTAATCGCAGTACCTTGTCTGTTGTCTTTAATGAAAACACACACACACACACACACACACACACACACACACACACATATATATATATATATATATATATATGTTATGCTTATACGTTATTTTAATAGATACAATTTATTTAATTAAATGCTGTTTTTTAATAAACAGAATGAATTACATTTACCGGCCTGAATGTTCGAAATATATATATATATATATATATATATATATATATATATATATACTAGCAGCCATACCCAGCTGGTCGATCAGAAAAAGTGTTCAATTAGAATGAAGCAAAAACAGAATTTTGTTCAAATGTAACAGAGTCTATCTTCTTCAATTACTTTAAAGTACTTTCATTAAAAAATATTTTGAATTAATGCAGTTACTAATATAACAGAATTAGTCTGTATTTATTCAATCGAAGTTAGCCGAGGACATGAAGGGGTGAAACAGGTAACATGAAAACCCACTTCAGACCACAATTATTTGGATTTTTGAAATTCACTTTGTCAATGTGCTACTAGGGATGTAAAAGAAGATACATTTATGAAGCAATTGTTAAGTTTGATGAAAATTGGTTGAAAAAACAATGAAAAATAAGAAAGAAAATCAGTAATAATCGCCATTTTTCGCTATTTACGCGGGTTTTCACTATATAGATGGACTCAATTATCAAGTTAAATGACTGTTGGGCAATCAACTTTTTGTTGGATACAATTGGGTGAAGTTTGCATTAGTTTGCTTGAAAGTTGAGGAAGTTTTTAGTTTAAAATTTATGTTGAAATCGATTTGTGTTGAAATCAATTTTTCTTTTTTCGCTGTTTTCGCTAAATTCAGTGGTGTAGAAATAAAAATGAGGTATCGTTGAGCTCGTTATGATGTAAATAAACTACATACGGAGTTTGAATGAAATCGAAAGAAAAAAGATGGCTTTATCAATATTTGATTGGCTTTATCGATTATTGCTCTTTTAAAAATTATCGATTTTTTACGCTAAGAACCTATCTCTTACATTGTACAATGTATATGCCAAGTTTGGCCAAAATCGATTGGATGGATCTCGAGTGAAGAGGTATCAAACAGACAGATAGATACACAGACATCTTCTGTTCATATATATATATATATATATATATATATATATATATTATTCAGTCTCCATAACCCTAACCCTAACCCTACCCAAGCACTTAACCAGTTGCTGCCCATTAAAAGGTTGATATTATTTGTAGGATTCTCTCTATAAAACGATTAATACTTATTATCCCCAAAATGTGAATTTGGACATTAATTAGTTAATCATTTGTTAAGTGAGTTCCCCTCTCATTCTTTTTTGTCCTTTCTGATTTATTTTCTTTTGAACTTGAGATTTATCTCCCTTGCTTTGTAATTTCATTCACGACACCATTTTGCATTTCTGTATTAAAATGCCAACAAGCTTATATCTTGTAGTTCTTTTGTTTTTCTAAATATCATGCCGCTTTAGGACGTAGGCAAACAAAGGCTCTCCAAAGATTCCTGCTCTTTATTAATGCTAATTGTTCTAATGAGTTTTCCTTGTTGGTACCTTGAATTCGCGAATTTAAGCAAGTTCTAGATTGGTACAGTTAGGTCTCATAATTTCGCCGTTGAAATTTCTACTTACAACCATATCTTCTATGTGAATTGTTCCTTTACACGCACTTCTCTCTTGTGGAACTCTCTTCTGGCTTCCTGCTTCCTAAACAAAAATCAACAATACAGTTTTATAGTAAAATGACCAAAAATACGTTTTTATAATAGAATTTGCAACAATATATTTTTATAATAAAATGACCAACAATACGTCTATAACAAAATGACCAACAATACATTTTTATAGCAAAATGACCAACAATACATTTTTATAGTAAAATGATCAACAATACATATTTATAGTAAAATTGCCAATAATAATTTTCGTAGCAAAATTATCAACAATATATTTTATAATAAAATAAACAAACATTAGATTTTAATAATAAAATGACCAATACATTTTTACTGCAAAATGACAATTAATACAACACAAAAATTATATAAACACATTTGTATAGTAAAATTACCAGCAACACATTTTTGTAGTGAATTTACCAACAATATGTTTTTATCATTTACAGATAGTTTGTATATAATTTTATACCCTCAGAGCAAACGCATGATTTTTTTTTTAGACATATGTCGAAAAAAAAAAACACGTTTGCTCTGAGGGTATAAAATTATGTAGAAATTATCTGTATTTGAAGGCATCAAATGTTGTTCAAAATATTTAGATTTCGTTATTAGATAATCCAAATGATGTTGACGTGACACTAAACAAAATCAGCCAACCTGTTTTACTATCAAGTATAATCTTCAAAATTTTAAATGCAATGTCAGTTCTCATCTTTCGTCCTTGAATTATGTTCTTTTATTGCCCTCTCTATTTTTGTTTTCTCTCTAAGTAACCCCCTCCCCCGCCCTTTGCAACCTATTGGCTTTTATTGCCTTGCTTGCTTGGGGTGAAATGATTAAAAAAAGAAGTGCAGTTTATGAGCTGATGTAGGAAAGATAACAGTTAATCATAGACTTGAAGAGGTTAAGAGTATATTGATCGGGAAAACATCCTCTAGGGAATCTGTCCCACAAAATAACAGTTCTTGAAAAGAATCTGTTTGAGTGGAACTTCTTTCTTACTAATGGAATATGAAGGCAATTAGGATCATTTATTCCTGTATAAGTGGCATGACGGGTTTTAACTTAAAGAGTCAGAACTGATAGTATGAAGAAATGAAAGTCGTCAGAACATTGACCATAGAAATAGCGGTAGAATAGCAAGAAGGAAAGGAGCTGTAGGGCGGAAAATAATTCATCACTCACAAGGATGCGGAGAGGCTTTTGGACTCTATCGAGACTGGAAACAGAAGACTGGGTAACTCCTGTCTATGTATGGCAGCAGTACTCTATTTTCAGTCTGATCTGACTCTTGTAAAGGGAGAGAGAATAACGGGAGGAGTCAGATACGAACTGAAGCCATAAAAAGAACCGATCATTTGCCAGCATTTTTAGCATCGTATATATGCGTCCTACTTCAGATCAGGGCTGCGACTGGCTCCCCACCCCCAAAAAAGTAAGGGACTTCTTTGAGAGAACAAAAGTAAATAAATAATTTATTTCTTATGTTGACTCAAAAGTAATTTCCGTTTAGGGCGACCAATTTTAATGACGAATGTGTCTTCCTAACTGCTAATCATATATGTCAGTTCAAAAAAAATTGGAGTTCTCTAATGTACCAGAGATTTTGGACTGCAGTGGTAGCGTATACAGTGGATTAAATGAAAAATGTTGTCCTGCTTCATGACAACACAACGCCGTATACAGCAAAAATAGCACAGGAAAAAATTTTGGAATTTTATTTGTCTTTTCCATCCGACCCGCCATATTCGCCTGGCAATGCACCAATTTAATTATGACTTTTCTTAATCGCTGCAAGACATTTTGATGAACAAAAAAATTGCTTTCTTTAATAAAAACCAGATTCAAGAATTTGTCAAAAACGCTTTCACGTCAAAACCAATGAAATTTTAGTATTATGGTTTGATCTGATTCGAGTTTTTGGGGGTTGTTTTTTTTTTATTTTTTTGTGGAGAGGAGTACTTACCAACTCTTGGTGGATTATTTAAAGCTGAAACTTATTTTAGATTTTAAGAATAATTGTTCTTTTTTCATTTCCTTTTCAACTGAATATTCCATTGATATTCTTTTGAGAATGACAATGATTATTCCAGAAAAAAATCCTATTTTTACATAGCTGAGGAGAAGAGATGGATTAAAACCTTTCCTAAGGGTATTTCCGCGTAACTGAATTCAACGAAACCGACTGGAATTCGACCTTCGCTCACCGAGCTCTCCTTCAGAGCCGCTAACCATTACATAAAAAAACGCATTTCACCTACTCACAAAGGCGTCGAAGTGGCAATAGGTCATTGCAAATAATGGAGAATATATAACTGAATAAAGTATATAATTTACTTTTTGTAAGAAAAAATTTGATAAACAAAAACGGAAATTTTTTATGACTCAACCTACGATATTAAATCTCCGGGGTCGTTTGTCCTCCTTGGCAATTTGACAACTGCAAACGGCCAAGCATTCTAATTCCGACAAAAGTGAATACGTGTGACGCTAAGGTTAACCAAGAGAGATGATCTTAAATACCATTGAGCTGGGGCCGGTTCGAGGTTACCTTGCTGAAGTAAATTATTGCGCAATAAAAATTGATAGCGTATAAGGTCACTTTCGGTTTGTTATTAAGAAGTGGGAAACCAGGATTCCAGCCCCCACATCCTGTCACAGAAATGGACCCTGACTTATTTGGGTCAGGTTCCATTAGTGTACCCGCATCCTAACCAAACACAGTCCCCACTCACTCCTGGGACCGATAAATGTCATTCGCCTCTCACAGCCATGAAAAAAAAGTGTCTGGGAGAGAGAGAGAGAAACTGAGCATTTAGGTATATCTATAGTGTAAAATGCACAATGTATTTCTCTTTCTCGAGATAGATAGATAGATAGATAGATAGATAGATAGATAGATAGATAGATAGATAGATAGATAGATAGATGTTAACAGACTGGGAATTTATACATATATTTATATCATATTTGTTACAACTCCTTGTAAAACAACAAAAGAATTAATAATACAAAGCCAGCATAATAAGCTAAAACTTGAAGGAGGAATTTACTGTATCGCCTGTAATATTTGCCACAAAGAATACACTGGAGAAACGTCAAGGAACTTAAAAGATTATATAAACACAAAAGGGATCATTTACTAAACGACTCACACAGAGCATTAGTTGCTCACCGTTATGAGTGTGGCCTTAATTTCGATTTAAAAATGCTACTTTAATAAAAAATAGAAAACAATTTACTAAGACGAAATAGTATAGAAAGTTTTGCATTATAATCGCTATAGATCATCTACAATAGATTTGCGTACAGGTTCTTACAATATTTCAGGTATTTCTTTGTAGATGAAAAATTCAAATATCTAGGAAGTGAATCCAACACCGAAATCCGAACGCGCATTCCAATGGCAAAAGGTGCCTTCTAAAAGCTAAGTAAAATAATAAGACAGAGGAAAATATCGTTAGAAAGAAAGAAAAGAGTACTGAACTAATATGCAATATCGGCCTTCTTATATGACGGTGAATACCGGACAATCTTCTCACAGATAAAGAAGAGACTTGAGGCAACAGAAATGTGGCTTTATTGAAGGATGCTGACGATACCATGATCTGAACATGGGAGCAATGACGAACCTTTAGGGAAAATGCAAAGAAAAAAAAATACGTACTTAGTATCAGAAAAAAAAACAGTTGATTTCTCTTGGGCATATAATGAGGAAAGAGTGCTTGGAGAAATTGACACTCTCAGGCAAGAGGGACAGAGGAAAGCTTCATATTACCTACCTAAGGTGTTTGGACTGTTTTTCTTTTTTAATAAAAAAATTCATCACGCCACAAAAACATTTTCCATATACGGTATATATATATATATATATATATATATATATATATATATATATATATATATATACAGGTACCTCCACTAATTCGCTGAAAAAAGAGCATACTATGATGAAAAATACGCAAACTTGATAAAATTATTGTCAAAATCTTTTATGTCATTATCAAGAGGAAAGACCAAAGTAAATATTTAATTATATTTTTGATCTGTTTTGGAACGTTCGAAATTGCGGTTAAAAATCTTGATTTTCTTGCGTCTGTAGATAGACTATAAATTAACATACCAAATTTCGGCGTTTTTTCTTCTTTTTTTTTCGATGAAAGACACATTGCAATAATCAAATAATTGTTGGATTTTAATGAAACTTTCAGGACTGACTCACAAATGAATTATTTTAGAAATTTTTTTAGAAAAGTTTAGTAAAAATATATATTTTTTTTTTACTTGTGTTCAAACCTTTTAATTTTAGGAAAACTTGAGAAATTCAACAAGATAATTTTTAATGACTGTATTAATTAAAAGTAGAACTCTTTGAAGAAGTTAAATCATCAATTTTGTTTGTTTTTTTTTGTTTGTTTTTTTTTTGTAAAATAGGAATCCGACTTACTGAAAATATCCTCTATAACGTAAAATAAAAATCGCAATAAAACTAAGACATCATTGGATTAGAAAAGCTTTTAATTTTAATATGATATATATATATATATATATATATATATATGTGTGTGTGTGTGTGTGTGTGTGTGTGTGTGTGCCTTTGTCTGTGCCTGTGGTAAATGAATGAAAAATGTAAAAAAATTAGTAAAAACTCAATAAAATTTTTTATCTGAAGTCCTTTCGACTGACGAAACGCGTAACAGAAATTTTTTCAGTTTGTCATTCAATCATGAACTATTAGTTTGATATATAGTTTGTATATCATATATATATATATATATATATATATATATATATATATATATATATATAAGTAAAGTAATGAAGGGTTTGGTAATCCGTATGGATAATTCCAAATAGGATATAATCCAGAGAGCTCAATGTAACAACAAAACAAATTATATTAAATTTAAAAAAAAAAAAACCTTAAGGTTCCATGACTATAATTTATTTCCCCAAAAAATATATTTTTCCTGGTTCATCAGGTCACATCTTTAGTTACAAAGGACTTTCGTTTACAAATTTACATGTTTTTATTTCATTTTAATACAAGTTTTTGAGGGATGGTTTTAGATTGATGTAAGGTGACAGAGGGTGTGGGAGGGGGAGAGGACCATAGAATGATCTAAATTAGAACTGGAAGATAGGCATAGGGTTGTTTATAAATCCATCTTTATTAAGTTACGTAGGTTCAAGTGTACTCAGTCAAGAGGCCAGACAATTTGACCTCTTAAATAAGTTTTTGACAGGAAAAGGAAAGAAGACAAATGGTAAAAAAGAGGAAGGGGGAAAGGAGAAAGAAAGAGTGAAACAGGAGGGTGAAGAGGAAAGAAAGCGTGAATTATATGTAGGCATATCGCGGTGACACTCGAAAAACACATCAATACAATTTATAAAGATTAACAACAATGTAGGAATAAAATAAAATATATTAATAATATTATTAATTTTGATTAATACAATTTGTAGTTAACACAGGACAATATATTAAAGATTATTACTAATACATGAATGAAAGAAATTTTAAATTTTAAAAATAAAAATGAAAATATATAAAATATTAATAATATTATTAATAACAACTATTATATAAAGGTTAAAAAATATATTTAAATTTGAAATTTAAAATTTTAAAATTTAAAATTATAAATGGTACAGAAAACATATATAATATTAATAATCAGATTACTATTACTACTAATAATAATAATGATAATATTATTAATAATAATAGTAATAATAATAATCAGATAAAAAAAATAAAGAAAAAATAAAATAAAATACAAAAATAAAAATAAAAGGTATAAAAATAACAATGTCGCTTGGTAAATTTGTTTAGTAACGTTATTCTGATGAAAATGAAAAACTTAAATATATACACATATATATATATATATATATATATATATATATATATATATATATATATATATCATACACATACATATACATACATACATACAACGATATCAATTAAAACATACAATTATGCAAAGATCTATACATAAAAACAGATACATATATACATCTTAAATATATACTTATATACATACACATACACAAATATATTCAAAATTACATATCTACACCTATGTACAGATGTATATATCTAAATATATACACCTATATACACATACACATATACACACACAAAACACAAAAAATGATTAATTATATTATCAAATATCTACACATATATACACATACACTGCGTGCCAAATTATTATCGAGATAACTTTTTTTATATTTCAAAAACCGTCCAATCAATTCACACAAATGTTGGCAACACTGATCTGCACAATCACTGAAATTTTCGTACTGATCTGCGCAATGTAAACAAACTGGCGCCATATTTGTTATCAGCACGGTGATTTGAGCGCGCCAAATTATTAGAAAGGTTTAGTAAAATTCCCAGAATTGAGCAAACATAACGTTTATTAATATTGCACGTGAATGTTTATGATCAAAAGAAGCTAATAAATAAGATAATCAAACAAATAATAATAGATACAAACAAAGGCACAGTTTTAAACAAATTAATAGGGAATGTGCTTTCCCTTTTTTTTGAAATTACTTGAAGAAGTAGTCGATCCATAGAATTTGTTAATTGTAGGATGGCATTTGCTGTAATGCCGCGAGATATGTCAAGAATTGCTTCCCACAACTCAGCGTTGCTCCTGAATTGTCGTCCGTTGGCGTACAGTCTTCGCTTCATGATGCTCCATAGATTTTCGATCGGGTTCAAATCCGGAGAATTTGCTGGCCACTTCATTTTTCGAGGTCCATCGAAGACTAACTGTTTCATGTATTCAGTAGTCTTGTGAGCAGCATGTGATGGAGCATTATCTTGCATAAAAACAATGGCCCTTCTGAAGGCAACTCTTTGCCTTTTCATCCACGGTTCAAGATGCTCCTTCATAAACGCTATGTATGCATCAGCAGTCATTTTGACGCCATCTGGTACTCTCCATAGGCCCACTAATGTTTTTCCAATAATACCACCCCAGATCATTATGTCTCCACTGCCTTGTTGGCGTCTCAAACGTTGATGGCGATTCTATCCGTTCATTACCCAGCCTTTGCACCATCTATCTGGCCCATCAAGTGTTGCTCGAGTTTCGTCTGTAAACAAAACTTTAGAGAAGTCAATCTTCATATTGTCCTCGGCCCATTTCAATCGATTTTGAATGTGATTTCTCGTCAACGGAGGCTTCGATACAGGTTTGACTGTTGTTGCTATTTCCCTCAGATACCGACACCGACTACTTTTAGACACAGTAGAATCCCCAATTCGACCGAAAAGCTCTTGGCTGGTAAGTCCAGGGTTCTTCATGGCCTCTCGTTTAAGTTGTGACATGAGACGACGTGAAATAACCCTCGGCTTGCCTTTATCTGCCCTTTTGCGTACTTGTGTAGGGTCGGCGGTGAACTTTTTCACTGTTTGATGACAGCTCGCTATCATTTTAGAAATTTCTAGGGTAGATTTACCTTTTGATAGTTCTGAGGTAATAGTTTTCTTTTCAGCATTACTTAAACTGCTTTTACGGCGCATCTTTTCACTAAATTCTTACACTTACGCTCAAATCACCGTGCTGATAACAAATATGGCGCCAGTTTGTTTACATTGCGCAGATCAGTGTTGCCAACATTGTGTGGAAATTTTGTGTGAATTGATTGGACGGTTTTTGAAATATTATAAAAAAAGTTATCTCGATAATAATTTGGCACGCAGTGTACATACATATATACATATATACACCCATGTATACATATATACACACATACACATATAGGTGTATACACACACACACACACACACACACATATATATATATATATATATATATATATATATATATATATTCTTGGAGAGTGAGCAGACTTCTGTTCAGATAGAAGGATAAAAGCTAAATTCTATTGGCAGCGCTTTGTCGTCCTTTAATGAGTGTGTGTATAAAAGGTATTTTGTGGGGTCATTGAAGGCACAAATGCAAGTTGGGCCTCAAGTGCGGAACATCAGACGTACAAATTCAAAAAAAATCAGATTTTCGATTTCTTTTTGCATTTGTACGTCTGATGATTTGGATCGTGATTACGATTCCAATGTAATAAATTATAACCATGGAATATTAGTATTTGAGCCTTTTATATTATATGTATATATGCATATGTATGTGTGTGTGTGTGTGTGTGTGTGTGTGTGTGTGTGTGTGTGTGTGTGTGTGTGGAGCCCCATTTCAGAATTATAGAAAAATAGTAATAGATTTAAGTACTATCACTGAAAACTTATCACAACGAAAGTGACTCAATTTTTGCACATTGACAGACTCCAAGTGTTTGAATTTTCGTATTCATACGTATTAACCAACCAGCGACGTCGTACGAGTCGCGCAGGATTCTTTGAATTGGCAGACACTCAACTACTTCAGAATATGATCGGCAATATTTTCCTTCCTTTAAAGGGATATTAAAAATTGGAAAAACATACATTTCCCAATAAGCTTGATATTAATAAATCTAAATTTTACATTCATCTTTTATAAATGTAATCAATTCTTGTTCACTAACTGGTCTTTCAGTGAGCCTTTGACCAGGGTGTTTGTTCGATCGTTTGTCACACAAACGAAACTGAAATTTTCAAAATTAATTACTCATATTCTACAAACCCTACTTCCTCATAATCATTCCAAGAAACTTCAGCCATCTCTTTCTGATTCGAAGTATGTCCTTTTTTCGTTTCCATTTTCCTTAAGACTTCTTTGTTCCTTACGCGCTCCATCCATGTAATTCTGAGCATCCCTCTGTAGAACCCCATTTCTCTTGTCTCCA